TCAATCGTTATGCAAACAATTTCATTTTTGACAGTTTCCAATTTTCCTAGATTCAGACTTTGTACATTAGAAATTCTAGTTATTAGTTGATGTTTGCAGCAGTTTCACCTCATTTGAGTTGTGCTCCATCAGCTAATCAAGCTTCAGTCCCCAAAGCTTTACTCCTTCCAATTTGTTCTGGCCGACCCAGCGCTGAGAAGGCCGTTCTTTGCAGACATGTGTTTAGTGCCTCCTCCCTGATAATAGTCTGCTGCTCTGCATCAGGCTTTCCGTATCTGACAGCGTTTTGCTGCTATTACCAAGGTTTCTAGTGGCTAATTCCTCTGAGGTGGGCAGCCTACTCCTTTTTCATAGTCTGCTCTTAATCTAGATGCTCTGCTGAAAACTACTCAGTTTGGGTAACCCCGCTGGTATTTGAAATACCAGTGATATAATTCCCAGCATCACAGCAACACAGAGGCCACCACCGTATGACAAACTGAGAGACAAGTGGTAGGGGTCTCAGTAGAGAACCATGCACAGTCAGCAGCTGTATGCTATTCTTTTGATCACAGAGCAGCTTAGATGAAGAACCTGAAGCTACCGCCAAGTTGAGGAGGTCTCCACTAGTGTACCACCTATACCTCGCATGCGCACACAGCCGTTTACACAGGTGGTGGTGGTGCTTGCCATCTTGCCGATTCCAACTCACAGCAACCCTCTGTGTTACAGGGTAGAATTGATTGCAATGGGGACAGTGGTGAATTGCCAGGCCTGTTCTTCCACGATATCACTGTGTGGGGTCGAACCACCAACCTTTAGATTAGCAATCAAGTACAAACTATGCCACCTGAGGACGTTTAAATACATAAAAGCTGATACCAAGGGCTCAAATACATGTTTTCTAAACAAGTAAATGTTTAGAAAAGGATGATGACAACATATGTACACATATGCTTGATACAATTGATGTGTGGCATGTTATAAGAGCTGTAAGAGCCCCTCAATAAAATGATCTTTTAATTTAAAAAATAATTAATTAAAATAAAATAAATACATAAAGAACATGGAAACTCACATTCTGACTATTTTGATCAAAATATCCGACACCTCCTATGAGTTACATAACTCATAGCAAGTCGATCTGTCCTAGAGCCACAATGCCGTTACTTGAGTTTTCACTACCTCACATGGAAACTTGCGAGGGAAAGTGAATACAGAAGCCCAGCATGTTGACACAGGTCTGGAAGCACCTTTCGTGAAACTATATGTTCCTAGAGAGTGGAAGTCAAGAGTTACTCCTTTTCATACACCAATCGGGTGCCACTTGTTCGATGCTTGTTGCAATAATATAAATGAAACTATATCCTTTTCAAATATGAGATATTATAATGAAGAAATATTATCACATCTATAAACATGCCTATAGTTAGCACATGAATTTGATTTATAAATTCCATGTATACTTAACAATTGCCCAAGTAGCATATGAACACTCTATCAATTTGGAACCCAAGGGCACAATCACAAGTAAGTCCCACAGAAGTATTGGCTGTGCTTGAATCATGCTTTGGGTGCAGCAATTGTGTCTGTAAGTGAACTCAGAAGGCATTCAAAGGGACGCTGGCTTCCATCAAGTCACACAGTACACTTGGTGGTGCGCACCAGTGCTCATTTTAATGCACATTAAGGTGACGCTCTCGTTCGGATGTACCTCGATCGGTGCACGTGTCAGTCAGCAGTCTATTACTGCCTGCAAGCAACACACGAAACTCAGTCCCACTTGCCATGAACTGAAAACAGTTTTCACGTGTGTAAACATTTTTTTAAAAAAGAATACTTTGTGATGTGAAATAGAAATGTCAGTGTTCACCGATAAAATTTTGTTAGAACACAGCCATGTTCATTGATTGACAGTGTATTAGCGTTCAACTGCTGTAGCCCTACGGCCCCAGTTGAGTAAATGTGGCAAAGCCTATAGGATTTGTCAAGCGTGTTAAAGACATGCTTCAAAGACCCAGAAAACTGAAACAGTTTGTCAACCCCTGATCTATGAGAAGGACGCGGGCAGTGTTTGGGGAAGTGACAGAAGAATTAAGTCATGGTTGCTTAGCCCTAGGGCTGTCATATATTCAAAACCGTCTCCTAATTCAATGGATTGTTTAGAAAGTACCAAGAAATACTCTACCTGCCACTTTCCCCGGGGGACCTGAAAATAAAAATGCACAGAGTTAAACAGGGCTGGAGAACAGTTATATTTCTCACATCGTTCACTGAAGCACAAACTCTTAGAACAGTTCCTCTGATTTTCTTTTAAATATTCCCTTTAATAAAAATGCTTGCATCGCATCAGGTATTGACAAATTCCCACAAAGTGAAGGATGCACACAATGGTGGAGAAAATCAACGGTAGTTTTTACGGCTTTTGTTTAAAATTACTTTTTGACTAGTTCTTTTTATTAACAGTTTTATTAGCACTTCATCTACATGTCATACAACTCAATCATATCGAGAAGAGCTGTACAATTTATCATGACAATCAATTCTAGAATATTCTCTTCTTCCTTGTACTTGTTATTCATGCATTTATTTCTAATTGTGTCAAAAATATGCACAAAACATCTTCCAATTCCACCACTTCTACATCTATATAATTCAGTGCCATTGATCTTTATAAATAAACCTTTTCAGGAAATTAGCAGAGGGAATTCACTGTTGGCATTAACAAACTTGAGGACACTTTTTAGGGGATTGCAATAGATGCCACTGTGTTTAAGGGAGCACCGTATGTAGCACAGTGGTTAAGCACCTGATTGCTGACCAGAAAGTTCATGGTTCAAACCCCACAGCAGCTCCAGGGGAACAAAGACATGGTTATCTGTTCCTGTGAATATTACACTCAGAAAGGCCTAGAAGTAATTCTATTCTGGCATATGAGTCACTTTGAGTCAGAATTGACTGAACAAGAATATATTGCATTTAAGTTGAAAAATAAAATGAGATAGGATATGTCAAAGTGCTAAAGGGTTGGGAGCCTGTATGACATTACATTGCTTTAAATTTTTATCATAAACGGTACGCTTAAGTAGAATTTTGCATATGCCAGGAACTGTGCAAAGCATTTTTCAAAAACTAACTTATTTGATTCTCATTAAAATGTCAGTATGAAAGAAATGCCATTAGTTGTCCCTATTACAGATACAAAAACTGAAGGACAAATAAGCCAAATATTGTGGCCAAAATATTGGTGAACTATTTCTTAACAAATGGCTGCTGTCTTGCTGTGCTTGCTGTTCTCTCCGATGAACCCAAATATTTTGACAAAGAGATGCCAGTTAAAATGCTGGTGCGGTGAAGCCAGCTGCCCACCAACAGGTGTGGCCTCAGTCAAGTCTCTACTGTCCCCGCGGGGCTAAGCCTAGGCTGTAGCTATCACTCAAAAGGCTGAGCACATATAGCTCTGAGTATGGCATGGAGGTTCTGAGCCAGAGTTCCAAAGTCAGCCACTTTGTTTAAATCCTCCCCCGCCCCAATTTCAAAGCTCCTTGACATTGGCTAAGTCCTTAATTATTTTAAGCCTATTTGCTCTTCTATAAAATAAGTATTAAGACTAGATGAGCTTACAAAAGTCAAGTGCCCAATATAAATATATACTCCCTAATAGTTTCATTGATATAATATTCATAGATCATACATTTCCATATTAAGTTGCTTTTTAAAAAGTTGTATATACACCATCATCATCAGTTCTAGTGCACTCTCCCATATTCATTATTTGCTCCCCAATTCCTGCCAACCTCCCCACCCCTGTATCCCTGATAAGCTATTACATCAGTTATTGTCTCTATACATCCACTCCTTCTTTGCTTCCTAAACAGGGAAACATAATAGCAGCAATAAACAAAACAGGGGGACGGGAAGAAATGAGACCACCATCAATATTAAAATAAGCCACAGAGAAAGCTTCTGTTGAGGATCAAGCAAGAAAGATTTAAACCCAGAGCAAATTTAGGATGGGTCAAGAGGGAGGTCAACTGATCAGGTATGGTATTACACATTTAGTCACTCAATCAATGTTCACCAGCATGCCAAAGAGCCCTGGAGGCACAGTGGTTAAAGACTCAGCTCAAATCAAAAGATTGGCATCCACTTGATGACATCCAGAAACAATATTCTGCTGTGAACCTTATATAGAACAGAAACGTCTTTGGTTGACTCCAAACTGTCGTGCTTAATGGCGACTAGTGCCTTCTCTGGACAACAGAAAGACGCTCCGCGAGCAGGGTTGACACAGCTGTGCCGACACCGATCCCAAGCAGAGCAACAACTGTGAGGACGGTGCGAGACCAGGTAGGGTTTGCTTCTGTCGCACATGGGGTCGCTGTAACTGGGAACCAGGGCGATGGCACCTAATGATGCATTCCCCAGGCTGGCCTTCACACGCATGCAGAAGCACCTCAGTAAAACATGGATCCGCTTTAGGAGGGTGCTGAAGCCACATCGAATCTGACTTCACAGGAAGGCCAAGTCAGGGCTGTGTGACTTTTCAGCAGGCAACTGGGGGCACGAATTCTTACTCTAGTCTGACCGCAGACCTACTGTGTCCCCTGGAATTGTGACAATTTGCCTTTTCCCAGGTTTACTTACCTGAAGAAGTGACACTGCGAATGCTAGCTTCCTGGAAATAGCATCGTCATACAGCATTCAAATCATTTATTGATAGAGTAGAGAAGGTAAGTTACAAAGAAAAGAGTGTGCTGTCAGAGTAAGTTATTTACCTAAATTCAAGTACATGGATGTCCTTATAGCCTGGTAGCCCAGTAAATGCATTTTCAACCTGTTAAAAATAAGTATGGGGGAGAGGGAGGGAGAAAAGGGGAAGCAATGGGAAAAAAATAAGTATGTAGAAATATAAAAGAGTGTATAATAAATAATGCTTTTAAGAGTAGAATATATAATGCACCATTTATAATTATAGAAGCCTGCACACCCCCACCACCACCCATACGCACACCATAGATCTTGTCCATGGGTCAGAAAGTTGCATGAAGAAATTACAATAACTGAAATGTTCAAATATAATTTTACATATAACACTAGTATAGTTTTCTTTTTAATTTTGTTTTATAGGGTTTAATATAGTCAGTACCACTCTTTTCCAAATTATTAGCAGAAAACATCCTTCATAATCGTATTGACAATGTACTGCAGTTCTCTGTGCGTTGAAATGTGCCCCCAAAAAGGCTCTCATTTTTTGTTGTTGTTGTTTGTTTTTTTTTAAGCTGTAGTGTCATTTTTAAATGTTGTTCCTTGGCTTAGGAATCTGACTACAGCACACTCCCACGCGCAGTGCCTAATGTTCAAGTGCTTGTTCTCTACAGCCGTGAAAGTCTCTGGAGTTCATCTCTTTCCCGTCCCTACAACAAAGAGAACCATGAACACACCCAAACTTACAAGTAAATATGCAAAGGAGGCTACGCAACAGCAGCCAGGGATTGCAATCGATGTTAGGAAACAAAATGTGTACAAATTGTTGAATGGAAAACCAATTTTCTCTGTAAACTCTCACACAAATCAAAATATAATTATTTTAAAATCACATTATGCGCAGATACATGTTTAAATAAAACTAAACATTTAATCCGCAACATTTCAGAAGCTCACAGCCTGACCAGAGGGGCCACTCACCATCATCACTAGAAGTGACATAAGTTAGAGGGCTTTGGCGCAACCTTGGGCAGATACGTTTAACCAAGTCCTCAGATAGGTAATCAAGAGATTAGATTGTTTTTTAAATATTAGTTCGATAAAGATCTTTATGTCTAAAGAATGAAGCACCCAAATCCATAAAACTTCTTGAAAATAATAATTTTGCTTGTCTCATCCTCAGAGGAAAAAGAAAGGTACTATGGTTTTTGTAGGCATCCCTGATGGCAGTCGTTACGATCTTGGCTGGTAACTGATGGCTCAGCAGTTAGCATCCACCTGTGATTCCTGAGAGAACCTCTCTGGAGATCGGCTGCAGTGAGGACCGTGGCCTTGGACACCCTATGGAGCAGCTCTAGTCCGGTCCACGGTCACAGAGTTAGAATGGACCCAACAGCACACAACAGCATCACTTTGTGAGTTAGGAGTGCGGTGAACCCCTCAGGACTAGGAGTCAGAAGACTGAGAGCCTCTTCTCTCTTGGTTTGATGCCAGAGCAGCCAGGCACCAGTCTTCTTTCCCTCCCCACCAACCACATAGTAGTTTTGTAAGATGGAAAAGAACATATCTGAAGATGCACCAGAAACTACAAAATGCTGAACAATTGCACATTATTATTATACTCACTGAGCCCATTTCTTGCCTCAGCTTTACCCATCTCTTGAATTCAAACACCTGTGAATTCATCACATCCAGCTAGCTACAGGTGACTACATGGGAGAAGAGTCATTCCATTTTATTAGCCAACATTAATCTAGTTAATGGTTACCCTGTATTGAGGAAC